GTGGGCATAAATCATCCCAAACACTGAAAAACACTGCCTCTTTTCATGTAATAGTAACACACAGAAATATTTTTAAAATCTGTGTGTGTGTGTACGTACATGCATGCATGTGTGTTACATGAGTATGTGTCCCTTTATAAGGATTCGGCAGAGAACAGAGCCTTTTTGGACCTTTTTGGACCCATCTAAGTTCACAAGTCCCTTAAAAACAAACAAATTTACCGATATTCTCACTGAATCATAACCACACGAAAGCCAGCCTAACGCAAATGAAACAAGAAGAGATTTCTGGTTAAAGACGTCGAACTGAATATATGCATGTAAATTTTCTCCCACCCTATACCCCACCAAAATGACTTTTAAAAAGCCATATACGTACAAGAACAAAGAGAAAGGGAGAGGAAATAACAGCAAGAAGATTTGGGGGGCACAGCTATGAGTGGGAACTGACTTGGCAGCCCACCAAGGCTGGGTCTGAAGCCAACAGTAGGGAAAGCCAAGACGTAACCTGACACTGTGGAAAGCAGAAGGCTCAGGAGTCAGTGACACCAGGTATCTCTGGATGTGGGGACAAAGGTGGGGCCTGTTTAAGAGGGACTAGAAGTGGTGCCTGGGTGGGTCATTTAGTTGGGCGTCTGACTCTTGATCTCAGGGTCGTGAGTTTGGGCCCCACCTTGGGCTCCATGCCGGGTGTGGAGCCTACTTAAAAAAAAAAAAAAAGAGGGTCTAGAATATCACAAAATAAAGGGTTTCTGGGTTCAGACATTAGAGATGAGACGTGGGTTCTTCTATAAGGAGAACTTACACACAGAACATTAAGACCCTCAGCCACCTTTTTCTCCTCATCTTAAGAACTTCGGCATTTGAAAAATACCCTCCAGGCAGGAGGCTGGAAGAGTCTCCTCTGGAGTATGTAACCAGGATAAGGGAAAAGATTTAAAGTTTCTGATACGGGGCTTCCCCAAGGAAACCTCCCAGCCAGATCTCCCTACAGGTGCACCCAGAGCTTCAATCAGCTTCTAACACCCTGTAATCCTGCTAAATCTGATGAAACAGCCAAGACTGCTAGACATTTAAGGAAAATCTTAATATGAAACAGAAAAAAGTAACTTACTGAAAATAGAATATGCCAGCAGGGAAAAAAAAAAACGTCAAAAATATCATTAATATCCTTAGAGGTATGAGGAAACATTACAACCACAAAAAAATGGAACACAATAAAAAAGGAACATTCAAAGGTTCTCCCCCACAAAAAAGGGAAGATGAAAGTTGATCAAATTTATCAGAAAGGAGAAAAAGGGAGAGACAGAAAAAGGGAACAAGGAGTTAAGAAAATTAGAGGAGATCCAATTCAAAATAATAGTAATGCTAGAAAGAGAGAACAAAGAAAATTGAGGGTAAGAGACTATCGCTAAATTAATTCAAGATCATCTTTCAAGAACTGAAGGACATGAGTTTGCAGAATGAAAGAGCCCAAGAGTGTCCAGAACAAACAGATGAAAAACAGGCTCACACCAAAGCATGTGAGAAGTCTCATCCCCAAAGATGAAGAACCAGAATGGCAGTGGGTCTTTCAGCGTTAACGACAGAAGCTAGGACATAATGAAGCAAATTTTTTGAAACGTGGAGGGAAAATTAAATCCGATTACAGAATTCTATATCTAGCCAAACTATCCATGAAGTATAAAGGCAGAAGGAGAGATTTTCAGATATGCGGGTCTCAGAAAATATACTGCCCATATATTGTTTCTCAGTAAGTTAGTGGCAATGTGGTGAGCTCTGTTTGGAAAAAAACAAAACAAAACAAAACAACAACATTTAAAAAGAGTAGGAAAGGCATTGGATTCAGGAAACAGGTGATGGAAAACAGGAAAGTTGAAGGAGTTCCTCAGGGTGAAGGCAAAGTGAGATGCCAAGATGAGTGCCATGAGGCAGGACCTAGAGAGCAAGCAGGGCAGACTCCAGAGAGAATACCACTAGACTACTAACATGTCTGAATGTATCTGAGAGATTTCCTCATTGGGGAAGAGTACAGGGAACCTAAGCAAATTTTAAAGATGTAATTATGCACAGAAGTTAAAAAAAAGTATAAAAAAAAGGAAGAGTATTCAAGGCACAGAGCAGAGCTCAAGTGAGTACTCCCTGTGTGCGCCTAATAACGTAAACACTGAGTAGTTACCTAACTAAATTTCAGTATAGCCAATTTCGGAGGTGGAGCAGGTAAGCTGGGTCCAGAAGCATGTGTGTGTGCAATGGGAGGGCAACAGAATGCGTTCACGATAGGGGGACAACTCGGTAGCAATTTAAGCCTGGTGCATGGAGGGAAATACCAAAACGGTCACAACCATTGCAGACTGCCAAACCTAACTGGTGCCAAGGCACTATTTCGGGCTAAGCCAGATAAATGGGTTAAGAGCCAGCTGGTGCGGGGTTGATGGATGGGCCTTTTTCACGCCACTCATGTATGACCCAGGGTTCTGATCTACATTTGAATAATCGCTTATCTTACTTTTCTAGAGCAAATTTTCATCTTGGACTGACTTTCCCTGCTACTTCTCGATTCTCTTGAGCCACACTTCCTACACACTTACCCCTCTTGTTGTCAGTTTAAATTTGTTTAGAAAACACAAATTACATGAAAAACAAGTCCTGGAAAACAATGAGGAAAAAAAAGAGACAAACCTATGATCCCCTTTCCCCACAAATCTCCTAAAAGTTTTCAGAATAAATTTCACACTGTCTATGCCCCTATTTGTCATGATTAATGAAGATAGCTGAAGACTCACTTGTTTGAGAAAGAGATATGTTAGGTCTTGGGATGTGTTTTCACTGTATCCTACACAGCATGTAAACCAAGCCACGCTGTCCAGGTATTAGGGATTTTATTTCTTGGTTTCCGTTCTGCCATAGTGAGGGGGAAACCATCATCCTGATACCCACCCAGAGAACATGAGTCTTGGCAACTACTGTTGACTTGCCAGTTGTTAAATACTGAGAGAAGGCTGGCTCACAGAGTGCAGATTTAATGCTATTGAGAAACGGACCCTTTACAGGTGCTCAAGGTGGGAGACTAAACACAGCCATCTCAAAGGCACGCCTGACTTCCTAGTGCCATCCGAAGAGCTACAGCTGCAAGCAGAAGGCTGTAATTATTCTGAAAGCAGGAATTACGTATATCATCTGAATGATGAGGAGATACAATTAGCAAATTCCTAAGCTGACACCACTTTCATCACGAAAGCTAATCATGTCTAAGTGCGGATGAATTACTGGCTAAACTCGACTTCTGAGAATGGTGTACAGAACACAGGAGGGGTAAAGGTGCCTACAAAATATAAACACGTGGTGATTATGCATGGCTAGTAAAGGTCTCCTTCAAAGAGTAACATCTTCCCTTTAAAAACCAGCTGTGGTAATTAAGGTGTAAAAAGAATGCTTTTATCTATCTATCCATGCATTGTTACTATGTTTTAGGATTTGTCTGAAAGATGGGACAAATATTTTGCTCCATTAGAATACATGGTACTAGTCTCCGAGAAGTCAACCTTTGAAATTTCCTAAGGGACAACAGTAGGATATGGTGTGTAAACACCTAGGATTCAGAGCCAGCACCTTTTGAAATGAGCTATGAAATAAGTCATTGGACCAATGCCAATGTGTCTTCCAGGTTAACCTCCTCTGAATAAGTAACTTAGGTTTCATATTTGACAAAAAGATCTTTCTGTAATTAAAAATTTAAACTGTTTCAGGGGCGCCTGGGTGGTGCAGTTGGTTACGCGCCCTACTCTTGGTTTCAGCTCAGGTCCTGATCTCGGGACTGTGAGATCAAGTCCCGCACTGGGCTCCCAGCTCAGGGTGGAGTCTGCTTGAGACTCTTCCTCTCACTCTCCCTTAGTCCCTCTCCCCCTTCCTCACTAAAATAAATAAATCTTTTTTTTTTAATAAGATTTTATGTATTTATTTGACAGAGAGAGACACAGCGAGAGAGGGAACACAAGCAGGGGGAGCGGGAGAAGGAGAAGCAGGCTCCCCTCTGAGCAGGGAGCCCGATGGGGGCTCGATCCCAGGACCCTGGGATCATGACCTGAGCCGAAGGCAGACGCTTAACGACTGAGCCACCCAGGTACCCCTAAAGCGAATAAATCTTAAAATTTAAACTGCTTCAGTTAGAAAGTACTTCTCACAGTGCTATAATTTTAAGAATAAGACATTTACAGTGTCTGAGAGAATTATTTATGTCATAGTATACTTATGATTAAATGTTGCAATTGCTGGAACCCTAAAACTAATGCATAACCTCTCCATTTCCTACATGGTTTAGAACTTTGCATTTTTTTTTAAGATTTTATTTATTTATTTGAGAGAGAGAATGAGAGAGAGAGAGCATGAGAGGGGGGAGGGTCAGAGGGAGAAACAGACTCCCCGCTGAGCAGGGAGCCCGATGTGGGACTTGATCCCGGGACTCCAGGATCATGACCTGAGCCGAAGGCAGTTGCTCAACCAACTGAGCCACCCAGGTGCTCGTGGACTTTGCATTTCTAAAAAGTGCATTTGCACACAAATTCCTTGACTTCACAACTCTGTAATATAGGTAAATTTTACCCCAAAGTGTGTGTGTGTGTTTACACGTATACCATATTCTATGAGGCCAGTATTTCCCTTACACCAAAACCAGACAAAGACATTACAAGGAAAGAAAACTATGGGCTGATTACCCCTTAAGAATAAAGATGCAAAAAATCCTTAACAAAATTTTAGTAATCTAAACTAGCACATATAGAAAGGATTACACATCATGACCAAGTGGGATTTACCCAGGAATGAAAGGTTGGTTTAACACTTGAAAATCAAGGACTATAATACATCATATTAACAGAAGTTTAAAAAACCATTAATCATCCCCATAGACATGGAAAAAGCACTTCACAAAATCCAAAACCCTTCACGATAAAAAGTAACAAACTAGAAATAGAAGGGAGCTTCTCAACCTGATAAAAGCATCTGTGAAAACTTGCAGCTAACATCATACTTGATGGTAAAAGGCTGAAGGCTCTCCCCCCTAAGTAAAGCATGTCTGCTTTCTCCACTTGTACTTAACATTGTGCTAGAGATTCTAGCCAGGGAAATTGTGCAAGAAAAAGAAATACAAGGTACCCTTGTTGGTAAGGAAGAAGTAACACTATCCCTTTGCAGATGACATGATCTTGTATAAAGAAAATCCTAAGCAATCCACTAAAAAACTATTAGTGCTAATACATGAGTTCTAGCAAGGTTTCAGGCTACAAGATCAATGTACAATACACAAAAAAGTCAGCAGTATGTCTATACACTAGCAAAGAATACTCCAAACATGAAATTAAGAAAACAACTTCATATATAACAGTGCTAACAAATTTTGAAAAGTAGTTTAAGACCTGTATATTAAAAATGACAAAACATCATTGAAATACATTACAGATGACCTAACTAAATCTATGGGTTATCCTTCATGGATCAGAAGATTTAATATAGTTAAGAACAATATTAACTGAACTCCAGATTCAATGCAATCCCTAACAAAATCCCAGCTGGCTTTTTTTTTTTTTTCCAGAAATTAACAAACTTATCCTAAGATTTATACAGAAAAATAAGAAACCCAGGATAGCCAAAACAATCTTTCAAAGTTGGAGAACCCAGACTTCCTGATTTCAAAATTTACTACAAAACTGTACTAATCAAGACAGTGTAGCATTAGCAAAGGATAAACATATAGATCAAAGGAATAAAACTGAAGCTTTAGAAATTAATCTTTACATGCATGACCAACTGATTTACACCAAGGGTGCCAAGGCAGTTCACTGAGGGAAAGAACGGTCTTTTCAACAAATGGTGTTAGGATGACTGGATATCCACACACAAAAGAATGAAGTTGGACCCCAACCTCACACCATACATACATATGAACTCTAAATACATTTGGAGACCTAAATGTAAGGGCTAAAACTATAAAGCTTTTAGAAGAAAACACAGTGAATCATTGTGACCCTGGATTAGTCAACGGTTCATTAGATACAACACCACAAGCACAAGTGACAAAAGAAAAATAAATAAAGTGGACTACATCAAAATAAAATTTTGTGCTGTCAATGATAGCGCCCAGGAGGTAAAGAGGTGATTCACAGAATGGGAGAAAATATTTGCAAGTCATATACCTCATAAGGGATTTGCATCTGGAATATATAATGAACTCTTATAACTCAGTAATAAAAAGGCAATCCAATTTTTTTTAAATGGGTAAAGGATTTCAACAGATATTTCTTCAAAGAAGATATACAAATGATCAACATGAAAAGATGCTCAACATTATCAGTCATTAGGAAAATCAAATCAAAATCACAATGAGACATCACTTTACACCCATGAGGATGGCTATAATCAAGAAGACAGACAATTACAAGTGTGAAGGAGGATGTGGAGAAAAGTAGAACCCTCATACATTGCTGGTAGAAACGTAAAATGGCGCAGCCACTGCAGAAAACAGTTTGGTAGTTCCTCAAACTATTAAACACACAGAGCCAATGACCCAGCAATCCCACTCCTGGGTATATACCCCCAGAGAATTAAAAAAAATATGTCCACAGAAAAAGTTGTGCAAGAATGTTTACAGCAAACATTATTCACAATAGGCAAAAAGTGGGAACCAAAATGTTCACCAACTGATGAATATAAGTAAAATGCTGACTAGTCACACAATGGACTATTATTTGGCAACAAAAAGGAAGTGAAGGACTGGTATGTGCCACAACATGGATGAACTCTGAAAACATGACGCTACATAAAATTAGTCAACCACAAAGGGCCACATATTATATGGTCCCATTTATATGAAATGTCCAGAATAGGCAAATCTGTGGAGACAGAGGACAGACTGCTGGGAGGAATGAGGAATCAGTGTTGACAGGTACTGGGTTTCTTATCTGATGAAAACAATGTTCCGAAATTATAATGTGGTAACGGCTACATGACTGTGAATATTCTAAACAGTACTGAAATGTATACCTTAAATGGATGGATTACCGGGTGTCTTAGTTTTATCTCAATAAAGCTGTTAAAAAAAAAAAGCAATGAATGCATATTTCAAGTTACCAATTCCGTACCTTTTGTTGGCTTCCTTGAGTGCAGTTTCAAGCTTCTCTGCCTTCTGGCTTTCTTCCCTTAGACAAAGAAGGAGCTGGCTCACAGTTAATTTCTCAAATTCCAAATAATTCCTGGACCTTTCTGTAGATTTGTTCCTACATCAAGAACAGAATAAAGATTAAAAGGTTTTCATCAGGAAACACAAATGTCAAAGGGTCTACAAATGTAACTGGAACCAACGTAAAGGAACTGCTTCCCAGAACACTCTCCAAATAATTCTCATTTATAGGCCAAACGCAGCTGGTCATGCGACCACCAGGCTCACACTCCTCCACGCTCTTCGGGGAGCAGGGAGGGGGCTCTCCGGTAGGCTCACCTTGCACTGTACATGCTCGCTTCATCCAAACAGCCAGTGTGCCCACAACATCAGACCCCAGGCCCCCGGAAACAGAGGTGGCCCTGGTTTCCAGTGCCCGGCCTTCCCAGAGAACTAGTCTCAAAGAGGACCAGTCACACAAAGTACACAAACACGCGTGCTGCCTGGCAACATGCGGACCGCCGGCCTTTCTTCAACTTGATATTCTCAAGTCAAGAGAAGGAAGCATTTTTTGTTTTTGATTTCAAATCATTACAGCAGAGAAATGTAGGCACCATTGGTATGTGAAATATTTTCCTTGATTTTGAAATCTGATTATACCAAGAAGCGGTGGGATGGCAAACAAAACCAGGACCACCGGTATGGCAGCTACACTTCCCGGGTGACCACACTGATGCTCATGTTCAAGGTCACACATCCCATAAACAGCCGGGATTAAATCCCAGTTCCCGATTCCGAGCTCTGCACCCACCCAGAAATCAATCTCTGACTCCTTAATATACCTTCAAACGAGGTAAGGAAGCTGTTATTAAAACATTAACTGTGGCTTGGGGCGCCTGCCTAGCTCAGTCAGAAGAGTGTGTGTCTCTCTTCATCTCGGGGTCATGAGTTCGAGCCCCATGTCAGGTGTAGAGATTACTTAAAAATAAAATCTTAAAAAAAACACCAACCAACCAACCTGTGGCTTAAAAGAGGAAGTGGTTTTAGCAGGTGGATATAAATGAGGAGAAAGTGGCTTGGAAATTTCAAACAGGGCTTTCTTCCTCCCCACCACTTCCAGGAAAGTCTTTCAGTATTAATAAAAACAGTAGGGGGGAAAGCTGAGGAACTGCTAACTAAGCAAGGGTGCAACTTTCACTTATGCCAACTGCCCTGTTTGATGAAAGAATATTATCTAACACTTATTTTCTCCCTGATGCAACGGCTTGGGAGCATAATTGGGAAAAAAGAAACTGCCCATTTTCATGTTTTATAAGTACATTCGTCATGTTAGAGCAAAAAAGGTATTTAAAGCCTATGACAGAAGAGATTCCTAGAGAAATTTTCCAGTAAAGATCTCTTTCAAATAGACTGACCCAGCAGTAACCTGCGTACAGGGTTCTGGGTGAGAGTCTCGAATGCCCAGCTCCTCTGCCATCTCTTCCGCCAAGCCCCCTGTCCCCCTGCCCCACACACCGCCATTTAAGATGTCTGCTTCCTAATGTCTACTTGGAACAGGTCAACTTGAGACTCCACAGGTAAGACTTCTGGCCCCTGGGTAAGACAGTGACTCAGAGCACTCCCAGTCCTCACTAGAGGAGATTACTCAGGATCAGTCACCTGGGCTTATCCTCGGGAATGAGCAGGGAAGACAAAATGATAACATCCCACTTATCGGGCTGGACAGCCCGGGCCAGGTCAAACTCTACCGGTAAACAAATTAGCAAGCCTGAGTCTTTTGATTAAGAACAAGTTTGTCTTCACTTCTCATCTTATGGGAGATGAGACACCTCTAAACAGAGTGGGGAGGGTTGAGTTTGCCTACAGAGGCGCCACATGCTGTTTTTATTCTCTGCTAGCCTGGGCTACAACACTAAATCCCATTCAAACCGGACATTCTTAAAAGGTTCTGGCTTAAGTTAGTAAGAATCGACTTTTGCAGCACAGGATGTTTGACCTCCCCGTGGCGAGCTGCAAGTGACAAGACTGCCCGAGGGGTGTCTCCGCCAGCCCTAGCCCGTCTTCACATACGTGTCAGTGGAATCAATTCTTGCGGTCCCAGGACTCGTCCTGATTTCTCTCACCGCCACATCTGCTTCTCCTTCCTGTAAAGGCAGAAATGAAAGGGCTTTACCATGATAATGTCCGCAAAACAAATTCTTTATCAAAAGAGAAAAAGGGGCGCCTGAGTGGCTCAGTCGTTGAGTGTCTGCCTTCAGCTCAGGTCATGGTCCCAGGGTCCTGGGATCGAGCCCCGCATCAGGTTCCTGCTCAGCGGGGAGTCTGCTTCTCCCTCTCCCACGCCCCCTGCGTGTGTTCCCTCTCTTGCTGTGTCTCTCTCTGTCAAATAAATAAATAAAATCTTAAAAAAAAAAGAGAGAGAGAAAAAGGCAGTAAGATCGAGAATCTGGATGACCTGCAACCCAAGGAAGCTACCGACATTTAAATGTGAGATGTTTCAATGAGGTCACTGAAATGGAATGGGAATTTAGCCTTCCCTCACCCTGCATACCCTGTCAGGATTATAAATATCTAGGCCAAGGCGTGAAGATTGGTCTCTCATCAGCCAACCTGACCCCGAACACACGAAAACTTATCTCCTCCTTCTCCTTGGCAGCTCATTCCCTTCTCTCCCAAGTTAAGGTCACATGGAGCTTAATGACACCTCCACACACCTTCCCTGCACAGGCCTTTAAAATGCAAAATGTCAGAACTTGCTGAAGCAATGTTGAAAAAGAGGCTGCTTTCTGTAGAGCTCACAAAGCACAAAGTTGGCTCCCAACAGAAATTTGTACACATCATGGGCCATTTAAGGGAACAAGAGGTCCAAGACCAGTTAAATGATATGAAGGATATTAATATTCCAATGAGCTAGCGGGAAAATCTTCCAAAAACGCATGGACAAAGATGGTTCTAGATAATTCTGACAATGTACATTTTTCCTAAATCTTGGGCAGTGTTTTCCAGTTCACAGAAGCAAGGCAAGAAAAGCACGTTTACACTAAAAATAACTGTCACTCATTGGATCAGTGAAGGAGCGGATTATGTTAACCATTCGCCCCAAAGGAAGAAGCCTCTTTTGGAAACTTCTCATACGCTCCTTGGCCTTCCCGAATTTTGCCAGGTATTTGCAGAAGGTGAAAGCTGTTTGATCAAACCTGCGTTTCATGATCTTCGGTCATCTGCAGAAAGGGTACTCTGGCAAACTGTGCTTTCCATTTGGTATTTTAATTCTCCTGATTTCGGCTGCTATGAATGCACCCAAAGATTTATTAGGGAGGATGGATGGCAAAGTTACTACTTTGCCATTTCCCCATCCTACTACTCTTCAGTGCAGCAAACGTACTGAAAAGTCCACACGCAAATAATTCCAACATGCCCAGGAGTTCAGCTTTTTACAAGCTCCCCACGCATTGTCTATAAGGTCCATTTTCCTCTCTCAGAAACACTATCTCTTTTCCTGTGTCAGATGTACGGTCTGACAAAGCTAAAATGCCAGTGTGTATCACAGAGGATCTTATCCTTGCGTGTTTTTCTCCCTCACTATTCAGTGTCTTTTAGCAGCGACGAAGGAGAGGTCCCTCTGGGCTCATCCTACCTGCCCTGCTCTTGAGCAGGACCGCCCACACACCCAGATATGGCCCCAACAGATGCTCCTCATGTGCTCAGGAACGGGCCGGCACACGCTACTTCATTGAGCTCACTTCATTTTCAGTTCCACATAAACGTGTCAGACACCGGGGGCTTCACACTCAGCTCCTGGAGGTGGCCAGGCAGCTGCTGTTAGACGTGGGGGCAAAGCCAAGGTCAACCCTCAACCACAACCCCAGCGTCTCTGCCCTTTCTTTTCTTCACTGCCCAACCAAGGTTCCTTGTAAGGCTTGTCTGAAAAGAGGGTTCTATTATTAAAAAGTGTTTTAAAGCCATCAGTTTACCTCATCTGCTCATGAGTCTGCTCACCTAAGTGCACTGCTGGACACAGCTAAGGACCTGGTCTGAAAAAGTTTATGTTTCTGTTTTGGTTTTTTAGATCACAAAATGTCTGATTTGTCAGTACCTATGGGAAGGGGGGAAAAAAACCCTATCTCTTTTGTCATAAAAGGTAATCAATAGTCTTCCATTTCAGCCATGACAACCCTCATGAGTATTATACATATATATATAAATTTTTTTTTTTTTTTTTTTGAGAGCGAGACAGAGAGAGAGCGCGTGTGCGAGCAGGGGTAGGAGCAGAGAGAGAGAGAGAAGCCCAAGCAGGCTCCATGCTCCAAGCAGGATCTCACGACCCTGAGAGCGTGACCTGAGCTGAAATCAAGAGTCAGACACTTAACTGGCTGAGCCACTCAAGCGCCCCTAGGATTATGTCATACTTAAAAACAAGAGCCAATTTATCTTGATGATATTGATGCTGAAACTCCCCTCCCCCCCACCCCCCAGTTTGGCTTCCATGTGTTGAAAAGACGTGGTAATCTAGGTGTCTAGGTGAGGTTTTGTAATTTGCTTAAAACTAAATCAAAACCAGGACACTCACAGCTATCCTGATTTCAACAAAGGAGTCTTCAGAGGGGCCGCCTGAGTTCAGCTTGAGCTGGAGTTCGGACACAATCCCCAGCAGATCTGCCTTTTCAGCTTGGAGATAGGCCACCTGGGTCTTCAGCTGTTCCAGTTCCTGGTCTGCTTCTGCCCTGGGGACTTTGGGGTCCCCAGTGGGGTCCTGGAACTGACGAGAAACAAGGTGAATCAGTGAGCCAAACTAACACCTGGTCATCAAACCCAAGTGTCCCCACACCCACGCAAGGCAGCTATGCTTTATGGTAGAAAAATCTAGGTTTCTCTTGGAGATATATTTTGATGTAACACTTCAAATGGAAGATTTTTACATTATTTTATTATATTCAAACAATAGAAAGTTAAAATAACCTCATGACAAGAAAGAAAGGCTTCCTCAGCACATGGGATAATCTGATATGAATATAACCAATCAGACTTTGACAGGGGTAGACTGGTAAATTGTCGTCCAAAACCTCAGAAAATAGGGACAAAAAGCTCGCCTCTTTTTTTTTTCCTCCCACAAAGGCAGACCTACCCTTACTCTCCCCATACTTGTCATGTACTGTCTGAAGCCAAAGCACCAAGACATTTCATTACTTGATATGTGAATGGCAAAGGACAATGGAAAGTCCAAAATTCTCTCAGGCATGCAGGCTGGTGGCTGTTAAAATCTATGTTGGTGTTTTTAGGTTTGCTAAAAGTAAGCCCGGGGAGAAATAAGAAAACTGAAAATTCAGAGGCTGCCACTAAAGGTAAAAAAAATTAAATTTCAGCCTATATAAACATGAAGAATAAATATTTCTATTTCACTAATACCAAGTACGTGTTGCGTTCCTCTTGTTACAATTACTGCGCATGACAAAGTTGTAGGAGAAAGGACCTGTTTAGATGCGGTGTTTTCATTTGGGAGCAGAGAAAATAGATTCCAGTCCACACCCTGCTAATCCCTGGTTACGATGCCCTGAGCAGATTTCGCTTAACGTCTTGGCCTGGGTTTTCTCAGGTTAGAAAGGGAAATGTGGTCCCTCGTGGTCTCTGTGGTGCCTTCCAGGCGTGGCCTACGAGGCCTCTTCGATTTCCTCCTCAGGAAACCTTCATTGCTTTTATGGGCCTGGTGCCACCAGAAATATATACTTGAGATTTTCAGAGAATTACAACACAATTCCCTCTCTCTCTCTCTCTCACACACACACACAAACATGCACACATGCACACCCATCTCTGTGATAGATTTCCTAAGGAACCAGAAACAGACCCAAAGGCTGTTAGTAGAACCAAAAAGCATCGGAAAGGACATGCATAAACTAGCTTGTCCATCACGAAATATTAAAACCTGGAGGGAAAGGTATTAACATGCAGCATGGGAGTGTCTCTCACACCAGTGAGATCATGCTCTTCCCTCACTTGGGAGCGTTCCCTTGCCAGAAAACGACCACAGGCCTGAGAGAAAAGAACTCATTGTGAAGCTGAAGAGTTAGGTGTGTAGGGAAAGGTTATCAGCCTGGGCATCCTCTCTTGGTAATGACTCATCCCAAAGAAACGTAACTGCGAAAGGGGTGGAAACAGTGAAAGGAGAGGCACTGCTTAGCCTGGAACTAGGAAGCAAGCAGGTAAGGGCAAGGCCGTGCTCTATCAGGAATCTTCACATTTTCCTGCTGGACCCCTCTGAGGACATTTTATAGAATTGCTGTTTTTGGTTTTTTTTTTTAAGAGAGAGTGAGCATGTTAGGGGGGATGGGGAGGGGCAGAGGGAGGGAGAGAATCCTAAGTAGGCTCCACACCCACTGCAGAGCCGATGTGGGGCTCGATCTCACGACCTCGAGATCATGACCTGAGCGGAAATCAAGAGTCAGACGCCCAACTGACTGACCACTCGGGCACCCCAGAATGGATTTTTAAAACCACCTTGGCGTAAGAGTAGGAAACAGAGTTTTAAGCAAGTGTCTGAGGATGAGGCATATAAGGCCATGATCCTAGAATCTCAGACTTGTCAGGTTAATTTTCTTTTTTGCAAGGGTAAGGATCTCTTCACTATCCTTGGGAAATTCCGAATCGACTTATTTGGCCATAAAACACCTCACAAGATAACATTTTAAATATCTCTTCATTTTACTACCGACTCTTTCCATTCGCTTCCCGGACTAGAACTCACACGTTTTATTTATGATCAACCTCAACTCCGTGATTTGTTACTGTCTTTCATCACCTTCAAGGGCCCGCCATTGACCTTCATGCAACACAACGGCTCTCCTTGTGTACTTGTATGTCTCCATCTTGCTGTCCCGGAAATCCACCCAGACTACCATGCATTTTATAATCCTAGAAGAAACATCCAGCTAATGATCTCTGCCTAGCAATCTGTACCATTAAAAGTTAAAGAGTTCTCTCTACAGATGATAATAATGTATAATTCTGTGAAATTGGACAGAGCCATGAATGCCTCAGCCTCACCCTGAAGATCAGAAGGCAGATCTCCAAAAGAAATTCCCTATTCTCTTTCGTTGTGTGGCAGAGAACACATGAGAAGCCCTGGTGGCTGGAGGGATTCCCTGGAGAGACCGCAGCAAAGGATGGGTCAGCAAGAGAGAAAAGTCAGAAGCTGGGAGAGCTTCAAGTCAGGAAGATGACAGCCTAAATTTTACAAATCACCTCAACCGGTCCACAAAATAAGAATGAAAGAAGAGGCAGGGAGGCAATAGGGAGGCCTGGGAGGCACATTTTTGGGGGAGAAAGCTGATGACCAAGGGTTTTAAAGAGCCATAAATGTCTCTTTGTCCAACTATCCATGTCCTCTGTCCCAAGGACTCTCTTCTGAGTCCTGCTTACAGCCTGTTTCTGCATTGAAAGGAGCTGTCCAGAACTCCAGATTCTGTTCTCAATTTCTTCTAATACTTTTTAGGAAAACGCATACATAGACTATTTCAAGCAGACAAACTGCTTCTGGAAGCTTCTTTCTAGGCTTCCATGTGATAGGCCCCAACAGGCTGATGCCAACTGTCAGCTCACATCCCAAAAGCCACAGGAGGAAAACAGTGTGAGATATTTTCTGGGGCACCTGGGTGGCCCAGTCTGTTAAGCAACTGACTTCGGCTCCGGTCATGATCTTGGGGTTCTGGGATCGAGCCCCATGTTGGGCTCTATGCTCAGCGGGGAGTCTGCTTGTCCCTCTGCCCCTCCCCCCAGCTTGTACACTCTCTCTCTCTCTCAGATAAATAAAATCTTTAAAAAAAAAAAAAGACAATTTCTTACAGAGTAGAAACTTATTCATATATCCTAGGTGATAATTTCTTCAGAGTATTCTACCTAAATATTTAGATACTGAGAGATTTCCCTCAAAGAAGTGACTTAATGTTCTTTGAACTGTAAGACAAATTGAAGCATCAGATGTGATAAATCTAATCAACAATAAATCATTTCCCACACAAATGTAAGTTTATTAAAGCAGAATGTTCATACTGTCCCATGAGCAGGGATTGATGAGTAAAGCACTGACATAAACCACAATACAGTTCTCTAAACAACTTTTCATTCTTTAGGTTATTCCATATCGTCCCCTTTTTGTTATTTTCTTTCCCTTATCTTTCTTTCTTTGCATACTTTACCCAAGAAATCAGAGATAGCAGGGTTCAAGGTATCTCAAGAAGCATCTCTGATGTCTGGGATTCTATCCTCCCTGAATCAAACCAGTGCTCCACCCTTCACGGGGCTGCTAAGTTCCAGGTTGGGAAGACAATGAACAGCAGATGTCCATCCTAACGAACAATATCCAGTGAGCCTCAGAATATGGACGGATGCTTCAAATGTGTTTTGATACATATTTTCTCACTAACATCTTTGGCACCCACTCTTGGCCATGAGCACATTTCTCAGGTTCTTTGGGTCAATGAAAACGTGGCAACTTGACAGCCTCCCATCACAACATGACATGTATTGTGCCATTTTTCAAAAGTAGATATAAAATGTAAAGTGAGGAATTTCTATTTTAGACTTAGGAAAAGACTACTGATCAGTAAGTAAAACTTTGGAGTAATAGATTTTTTAATGTAATTTTATATCAAAGACATAAACCAAAAACTAACACTTGGATGGTTCTAGGCAGAGGTTCTGCTGCACCATCTATAATACAAAATACTGATTTATAACTGCAACCTTCTTTTGACTATAATCAATATGGTCAAAACTGTACAAATTTCCTTCCCCCAACAGAGACTGTACATGACCCTTGAAATTGCAACCAATCTCCTCAGCAAGAACAGTTCTTTCAAGATGATGCAAAATACTCATCTAGCCAGAACCGTGAAAGGTTTTGACCTAGAAGTCTAGACAAGGAAGAGTCCACTCTAAACATTAATAAAATAAAATCACAGCTGATCAGTCTGCTCACCTCAAGGGACTTTTCTGTTTTCCCTTTTAGTTTTTCAAGTTCTTCCTTCAATTTTTCATTTTCATGACTCAAAGCCATGAGGCGCTCCTTGGCTTCTTTGCTCTGTATCTCAAAAAAAAGGCGTTCTTCCTTCTGTTTCTCTGTCCAGGCTGAAAGCTCTTCAAATCGCCCTTTCATCGCCTGATTATTTAGCTTCATGGCTTCTGTACGGGGTTCAGAGTGAGAGTGTCACACATCAGACTCGATCTGATGACTCCAACCTCCAAGACCACCCTCACCACGTGGCTCCAAATCCAAAGAAGCCATGCTTGGCCTGGGCCCCAGGGTTGGCAGGAAATGTAGCAAGGTGAGTGGTTTTTGCTTCCAGACAGGACTTGGGGGGCCTAATGTCATTTCTAGTCCTCCAAAGACTCCAGAAAATAAAACTAGTTTGGGTCCCTCCACTAAGGCACACAAGCTAGAGGACTAATTCAAACACCGGTCCTGCCAGAAGCCATGGCCTGAGACCCCAGAATACTTTCTGTGAACAAGGTCATATTGAGGACTAACTCCGTAATTCTTCCTGTTTCTTTCTAAAGGGACCACATGTCATTATGCCATTTCCCTGGGGTATGTAAGTACCTTTTATTCTTACCTGTATCCCCAAAGTAAACAATGGAAACAATGTTAGCCTTACCAAAAGCTAAACTCTGTGCTCTTTCTCCGGCTAGTGAAACAGAGAGAAGAGAATGCCAACAAGCCTTTTGACGAAGAGATGCCATTCATGAAGGCCCAGCGTGAATGAAGAAATATGGCGGCCAGCGGCTGCTCACCTTTGAGCTGATGATTCTCAGTCAAGAGCTCCTTCATCTGCTGCAGCAGCTCCTCTGGAGTGAATGTGTCCAGGTTTGGGTGAGCCAGGTTGGGGGGTCCATTTCCTGTGGTTTCGTTGGGGCTGTCCCCCTTTTCAGTCAGGCAGCTAAGCGGTTGGTGGGACATGGCAGCAGGACCTAGGGAAACATCACAAACTGAAGAGAGAGAGGTCTTCCCGCTGCAATGGGTCCCCATGAGTCCCACAAATCCATGGGCAACTGCTAGTGAGGATTCCAAAAGTTGCCTCCTTCCTCTCCAATTCTATTTTGGACATTTTTGGTTCTTCCCTTTAAACAAAAAAGGTATACACGCTAGCTTCAGTGTGTATGTGTGTGCGCGTGCGTCTGTGTATGTGGGTGCGGTGAGGACCTGCAGGACGGAGGAGGAAGAGAAGAGCATGAGATCATGAGAATCGGGAATCCTAACAGGAATTCAAAGTTCCCAAAAATATATTTGTACACCTGGGTAAAGTATCATTAAATTGGTTTTCCTATGCAAATCTTTCAAGCTCAAATCTTTTTGTTTTGGGTGAATTGCACAAAAAGCTGTTAAAAAAATCTCCATATTTTATCTCTTGAATTTTTGGCTAAGAGGAAAGGGAGAACGAACATATTTTGGATGCTTACTATGTGCTGAATCACTGCACCAGAATGTCAGTTTCTAATCCTTGCTAAAACCCAAATGGATGGCTACTTTACAGGAGACGGAGCTGAGTTCGCAGCAGTGCTACAGCTCGGCCAAGGTCACTTCATAAGAGGTGCAACCGAGTATTAACAACACCAAAACCCAGCCCTGTAATACAATAAAGATGCTACTGAATATTTAGGCTTCAATATCCAATAATTCTGTAAGGCATCCTAAAAAGACTAAGAGATCTTGCTCACTTATTGCATATTCTGAGAGTATTTTAAGCATACCGCCACTTTATTTTGTAAGGGGTCAATGTGGACATAAGTAAGATAGACAAGCGTATCCCAAATCCATTTATATATGCCCTACCACCTGGGCAAAGAGAGGAATCTCTTGTAACAACCGGCAACATGCTACAGGCAAACATTTTCTTTTTTGCACTTCGTGAAGATGATGACAAGCCTTGTCATGGAAGATGAAGAAGGGTAAGTGCACTCTCTCTGATACATCACCGTATCATTAACACCTAGGCGTGCTCTTGGTGACCATATATTAAAATGCGACCAAACACACAGGGTGTGGTGCAATGCTTCTTCCCCACCCCCAACTGGAAGCAAAGCTTGGGGGTTCTGTGGAGGTCCCCTGGACCCAAGAGCCTGGTGACCTGCTTTTGGTCTCAAGGAACCTGTAGGCCACGAGAGATAGTACCACGCCAGAACAGCAGGCTCCGGCTTCTCCCCTGAGCAGCCAACTTAAGGAGAGGCAGTCTCATGGAACGCTTTAATGAGGATGGCAGTTTATGAAGTGAAAAACACTGACGAGGCATACCATCCAACTGGGAGCCTTTGGAAGGTATCTATGTTTTACGTATCCTAATGCATTTAGAAAAGAGGTATAATGCTCTTAGTATCCGGTGACTAGAAGAGACTGCTTTTGCTTTCCCCAATAAAATAATCTGGATAAAATAATTTAGACAAGAACAATTTGGAGAAATCCAGTTTCTGGTTTTCCATAACATTCATTTTCACACAGTATGACGTTGGAGTTAACATTTCCTAAACATGGGTTTTTACCAAATAACAGGAATACTAAAGAGACCCAAAGATAAAATCCTTGCAATGTGCCCCAAAGTTTATAGCAGCAATGTCCACAATAACCAAAATATGGAAAGAGCCCAGATGTCCATCGACAGATGAATAGATAAAGAAGATGTGGTTTATATGCGATGGAATATTACTCAGCCACGAAAAAAAGAGAAATCTTGCCATTTGCAATGACGTGGATAGAACTACAGGGTATTAAGCTAAGCGAAACAAATCAGTCACAGAAAGACAAATACCACATGATTTCACTCACACGTGGAATTTCAGAAACAAAACAGATGAACACAGCGGAAGGAAGAAAAAATAAAATAAAAACAGAGAGGGAGGCAAACCATAAGAGACTCTTAACTCTAGGGAACAAACTGAGGGTTGCTGGAGGGGAGGTGGGTGGGTGGATGGGGTAACTGGGTGATGGGCATTAAGGAGGGCACTTGATAGAATGAGCACTGGGTGTTCTTTTTTAAAAATTTTATTTGAGATAGAGCACAAGTGGAGGGGCAGAGGGAAAAGGAGAAGCAGGCTCCCCGCTGAGCAGGGAACCCGACATGGGGCTCGATCCCAGGACCCTGAGATCATGACCTGAGCTGAAGGCAGACGCTTAACAACTGAGCCACCCAGGCGCCCCAGCAGTGGGTGTTCTATGCAACTGATGAATCACTAAATTCTATCCCTGAAACTAATAATACACTATATGTTAACTAAATTAAATTTAAATAAAAAATTTTAAAAATCCTCGCAATATGTATCATTTACTTGTCAACGTTCAATCTGCTGAGGTATTCAGTGATTACAATAGACTTTGCAAAAGTAAATGGAAACATTCAACAGATGTTTTTTTAAAAAAGTTCCTAAGCCGTTCTCTAGAGATGTGCTTAGTTTCATTTTATTATGTACACATTTCTCCTTAATGGTTTTTCCAAGAGAGAGGAAAGGGGAGAGAAGAGGAAAGCGCAGGGGAGGGCAGGCAAGGAGAAGGGAGGGGAGGGGAGAAAAGAAAGATTTTCTCTTGAAAATTATTCAGGTATTTTTCCTCTTCAACTTTCCTTTACACCCCCTTTAGACACAGCCACAATAAAGTTAAAACTGGTTCTAGCTGTTATACCAGAGCTTCTAACTTTTTCAGGTTGCCCAGATTTTAGGAGGACATGCAGGGGAAACGCAAGGTTATGCTAAGGGGGACAGTAGACAAAACACTGGGTACCTTAACCAGCTGTGTGACTCTTATGATAATTTACTGACTTGTCTAGCAAATGACGATCATTACATTTGCTTTCGGCTCAAAAACCCATGAAAAGTATTCCTGAGTTTCTAGGAAGATCCAACCCCACCATCCAACACACACAGCCCAGCACCACCATGGCCATGCCCCCGTATGTATTATATGCCTGTCCTAATTATAGCAAACACTTCATCATGTAGCATTGTTAGGAAAAATTATTTGGTAATTCAAATGTCATAGGAAATAAGAAGTTAGTGTGCATGCCAAACATAATGTAATGTAATGTAAATACTTATTACCAAATTTTTACCAAAGGCAATTTAATTGATTTTTGGTGACCCAAAGAGCAGCCTGTGATTTTAGGTATTTTGGGGGGGCATCATTATGAGTTATGAGTACAGTGCTTATGTGAAATGTCTATTAATAGAGTACCCATTAGGGAAAGCTGAATTTTCTAAATCTTTAACAACACCTTAAGCTACTTTCAATTGAACAAACACAGAGATGCATTATAAATTCTTGCACATATCTTCAAAGGTTATAGAAACTGGAACTAAGCCATTTATTCCAAGGTTCTATCTGGTAACATAATTTCTTTTTTTCTTTTTCTTTTTTAAATAACAGAATTTCTCATAACCTGGATCTGAAACATGTCATTTTTTTTTTTAAATGTAAGCTCTATGTCCAACATGGGGCTTGAACTCATCGCCCCAAGATCAAGAGTCACATACTCTACCAAATGAGCCAGCCAGGCACCCTTGAAACATGTCATTTCTAAGCAAAGGTGATATTTAACTACAGAGGGTGAATTAATTTAGCACAGGATTTATCAAGACTTCACCAATGAGGAAGAAGGCAAACTACCTGGAAGAATTGCCTCGATTTTATTCCCAGATCTATTTGAATTCTTAAATATATTATCATTTTTAATTCCAGAGGTCAAGTAATTATATCACTGACTTGACTTTGTGGGTGTGGGCATGAGCTTAAATCTCATTCCTGAATTGGCTTTACAAATGATCCAGTCCAACTTCTTATTCAATGCAAGAATATCTTATCTGGTTTCCATGGAAGATGGTCATCCCCACCAGGCTTGAAAGGCTTCAATGACAGAAAATATGAGCAATAACTTTAGCAGGCAACACAGCCCATTCTGTTCCGGGGCCATTCCCATCATTAGAAAGTCATTCTGTATTGAACAGAAATCTGCCTTATACTGACTTCTACCCACTGGACATTGTACCAATGAGCATCATGCAGAGTAAGTCCAGGCCCTTACCCTGGTATGTTCCAAACTGGCTTAATAAGCATTCACAGGTTCAATCCCCACATGAATAAATTAATTTTAAACAGTAAAAACCTATTTCTTGATCAGAGACCATAGGTGGCTATTGGCAAATTCTGGTTTGGGATCACGAGGGGGAGTTGAGTATGAATCCAAGATTACATCAACTAAAACCATCATCATCCTGGAAAAAGAACTCAAAGTCTGTATCCTATGAAGGGGGAAAAAGAAGCTTTGCTTTTAATGCCAGAAATGGTATTCTGATTTTGTAATTTGCTAACCTACAGGAAATGGAAATGGATTTACCCTTACCACGTGAGGCAAGAGCCTGGGAGCGTCTGGATTCTCTCTATTGAGTCTGAAAAGTCACTAAGTTGCCGGTACTTCTTCCTCCTCCCCTTCCCTGCCGGCTTAGGTCAGGCCCTCCTTGTCTTGTCTCAATTACAGCAGTGATGCACTCCACAGAGTACAGGGTTTTTGTCTATTCTGTGCACCACTGTGTCCCTGGCACCAAGAATGCTTGCTGAAGAGTCTCCTACGCGGTCTGGCTCGCCTCTTTCTACTGCAGTCCTCCTACCACTACGGTTTCTTTCCTGGCACGAGGTCACCCTCCTGCTGAAAACCCTTCCCATACAAGGCAGAGTTCCAGCTCCCAAATGAGAAAAACGTGGACCTTCAGAGTCTGGCCCCCCACTTACCCACCTGTATCATCTCCTCTCGCCACGCCACTCGCATGCAAGGCACATCAAAGAGCTCACGGTTCCCCGCTTTCTTCTGCTTCTCTGCTCTTATCTCTCTTCTCCCCCTCTGCACAAAATGTCTGGCCCCACGTTTGCCCTGTCAAATACCCACCAGACAGCTCCACGTCCGGCTGAGACAGATGGCCTTGTGTAAAACAAACTGTTCTTTCCTCTCTGTACCCACTCTCTGCAAAGTCCTATAACCCCATTCCATCTATCTTCCAACAAACTTCAGTGAAGGTCTCTATTTTATTCTTG